CCCCAAAACCCCAAAACCCCAAAACCCCAAAACCCCATTAATTCAAAATTCTTTGAAAGTGAAACTAAATTATTAAAATTCCGCAAAAGATGTCTAGGCTAACTTACGATTGCATTAGATCAATCTTAGAACATGAAGACCAAAACTTGAGTGATGGGATAATTGTCCAGATTTTGAACCCAAAGGTGTCTACTCTCGAAGACAAAATTTACTGAAAAGGGGCTATTTCTTGAGGTAACCTTAGCGTTTACTGTGTGATCAAAGGCACATGCGCGAAAGAATCAAAGGAGCAATACGGGGCATATGAGCTCAACAAGTACGACGTGGTGAAGTTTACCAAATGGCAGGTCAAAGAAGCAGGCTCATCTACTTCCAAGCAAAAGACTTTCTTAATTATAAGTGGGCCGTATCAAATACTGAAAACTGGACTGACTTCAAATATTGGAAATCCCAGAAGTTATTATGATTTCCCACGTGGAGAAGGGATTCCAGCTCCTGATCCCAAGAACTGAATTATTCCTGGTAGTGCATCTACAAAGGAAGAGGTAAAAGAGAGTCCCGCAATAAAATCCAAAGGAAGAAAATCTACAATTAGAATGGATGGATCTCCCTCAAAAGATGTCACTGATGATTACATGCCAATTAAAGCAATCAGTAATCAAACTTTTGACTGGGTAATTTTAGCAAAAGTGACTAGTAAGTCAGCAATCAGGCATTACAACAATAAAAATGGTCCAGGAAAGCTGTTCAATGTTGAGTTAGCAGATGGATATGGAACTCAAATTCAAGCAACAGCCTTCAATGCAGTTGTAGACAAATTTTATGACATGATAGAAGTTGGAAAAATCTATAGGATCTCGAACTGCTCAGTAAAAGTAGCAAACAAGAAATTTTCAAGTATCAAGCATGACTATTGCCTCTTTATTAATGAAAACTCTACATTTGCGATATCGGAAGACCAAGGGGCAGATATATAGCAGATGTTCAGATTTCAAGAATTGGACTTCACATTGTAGCGAATACTTCGGAAGGAAATGCTCTAGATTTAGTATGAATTCCTATCGAAGATTACGGAACAAGAGAGATCCTGACTAAATCCGGGCAGACTAGAAAACTCAGAACTATCCTTGTTGTTGATGACACCAAGACTGAGAAAATGGAAGAAGACGAAGTTCTAGGCATCGAAGTCCAGATCTGGGGAGACAAACCTGAGAATATCAGGATCGATGAGGGCAAGATACTCGTAATTAAAGGATGCAGGACTAATAAATTCAGAGATAATATCAGCATCACTTGTGGAGATAATAATAGTTTCTACTACTTTGAAGATGTCAAACATATAAAGGAAATGCTTTTGGTCATGAAATGGTATAAAGGCATTACTAAGGGAGGTAAAGATATAAAAAGCAAGGTAGTAAATATTTCAGGAGAAAGCTCAGAGGATTCATCAAAGACACCCACTAGAATGCTTATCCAAGCTGATATAGAAAGACTTGAGTATTACTACACCTATGTTACTCTTGACTTAATAAGGGCAGATGAGAGAGCTGTTTATACTGCATGCCCAGAATGAAGGAAATAAAATTGATCAAAGTATTGAAGGAAAATGGGAATGACATGCTTGCAGTAAAGCTTTCGATAAGCCTAACTATACTTACATGCTAAGTTGTAAAATATCAGATGGATATGCCTATGGTGAACGAGTTGGAGTAAAATGGCTGAGTGCCTTCGGAGATCAAGGCCAGCAATTGATAGGGAGTATTTCTGCACATGAGTACTATAAGAATTGTAATGAAGATTTAAATGACAGGGACAAATTGAAAGATCTTGCGAAGGAAAATCAGTTTAAGAAATTCAGAGTTTTGATCAAAAAGAGTGAAAACGAATACCAAGGAGAGATTAGGGACAGATTCACAGCTATAAAAATCTTCCCTTCAAGAGTTGCACAAGAAAATACTCATCTTCTTGACATCCTTAATCAATATAATGGTGCTTAGTATTATTTTCAATAGAATTCACTAATAAAGGGGTTTTGGGGTTTTGGGGTTTTGGGGTTTTGGGG